CTCATTCCTGATGGCTACAGGGTCAAGTCAAATACTGAGGTCTCCTGGGTAAGTGGCAGACCTGCAGACCTGAGGGCTCCCACTGTGTTCTATACCTCACCAAACCATTTTCATAATAAATCTCACATCCAGTTTTAAATATTTTTTTAAGCTGGGCCTGATGGTGCACACCTTTAATCCCAGCACTTGGGAGGCCAGTGTGGTCTACAGAACAAGTTCTTGGAAGGCCAGTGCTACAGAGAAACTCTGTCTCAAAGAACAAAATCTTTAAAGAGTGCAACACTCACTGCTGCTCTTTCAGAGTACCTGAGTCTGGTTCTAGACACCTGTAACCAAGTGCAAATACCATACACCAGTACACGTAATTTAAAATAAAAAGGCCCCTCCCCCTTTAAAAAAGGGAGGGCACATGTGGTGGCACACAGCTTTTACTCCAGCACCCAGAAAGCAGAGGCAGTTGCATTTCTGTGAGTTAAGGCCACAGTGTAGTGAGTTCCAGGACAGCCAGGGCTGTGCAGAGACCCTGTTTTAAAAGCCTCCCCAAATAAATAACAAAATAAAGAAATCTTTTAAAGAAATAGCTGAGACATAAATTCAAAGATCTCAAATTCAATTAAAACCAAGGAAAGCACTGGCCATGCTATGGCCTTCCTGCAATCTCAACAAGAGCTTGTCTTGAAATTTAAAAAGAAAAACAATCATGCCTGGCGTGGTGGCACACGCCTTTAAATCCCAGCACTTGGGAAGCAGAGGCAGATGGATCTCTGTGAGTTCGAGACCAGTGTGGTCTACAAAGTGAACTTCAAGACAGCCAGGGCACTTACAGAAAAACCCTGTCTCAAAAACCCAACCTCCTCCCCCCCAAAAAAAACAAAAACAAAAACAGAAGATACCTGAACAACAATACTGAATCGCACGCCCGCGCGCACACACACACATTGAGACGGGATCTCAAATGTTAGTCTGGCCTTGAATTCGAATCTCCTGCCTTCATTCCCCAAGAGATAAAGTGGGGGAATACCTGTGCCACCACACCCAGCGTTTGGGCCACCTATTTGGAGACCGGATCCTTTTATATAGTACAGGAGGTCTTGAACTCTCTGGCTTTGGGCATCTGAAATTTGTTACGGGGTGAGAGTTACCACATCCAAATATACTTTGAATACTAGTTTCCTTTAGGGGTTTTACTAGTCTTCATAAAGCACCATTATCTTAATCCCAAAAAGTTTAAGTATAATGTCATTCACATGAGACTATCTGGATTCCTTAGCCTTGTGCTGAATTTGTATTCAAGATACTGTTTGCATTCTATTTCCATTCTCTTGAGGCCAAGGGGTAAAAAACATGATCAAAATCAATAACCACGTTACCAAGTCTCTTACAAATTACAAAGCCAATAATACAAGCTAATACTAAATCTCAGAGCACTTCACCCACTACTTTTCCGAAGTTATTTGTATAGCCTCAGCACAAGAGCCCAACACACGCATATTATTTTAGAAGTGTGAAAACAAGCAGTTCAGACTTGCCCAAAGAATCAGTTCTGGTTCGATTCCCAAGCAGTGCCTGGGAATCTTAAAACGTTCCGGAAAAAAATTCCGTACTTTGAGTAGTTTGTTAACGCGCAAGGAAATCAAGCCATTTTCCAGTTCAAGGTAAACGTTAACACCGACAGGCGGCCACGAAGAAAAACGGTTCACTTAAAACTCGCCGGCTTTTTGAACCGGTCTCGTCACGTAGCCTGGGCTAAGCTCAAGGCAATCTTCGTGGTCCAGCCTCCCGAGCTATGGGATCCCAGGCACTAGACAACTGAGAAGTCAACACCATTGCACGCTCAGCGTTTCCACGGAGCGGCTGCTGAGACAAGCAGCTGCACCTGAGGCTGCCGAGGAGCCGGGAGCAGCGCCCGGGCCTGAGCCGCACCCACCCGGGCCTCCACCCTGCGCCGTCCCGCTCCCGGCTCGCCCCGCTAGTCGCCCGGGACCCCGCTGCCCTCCCGAGCCCCGCCGCCAGTGCTCCCAGAGCTCCCAGCGCCCCCAGCCGCAGACACCGTCTAAGCGCAGGCTCTCGAGCCTTGAACCTGACCGCGTTTCAACAGTGGCTCCCTCCCCTGAGAGACTCGCACCTTCTCCTCATGGCGGACGCTCCTGGCAGTCAAGACCCGAGACCCTCCACCTCCCTCACGCGGGACGGAGGACAGTAACCTCCAGCAGCCGCTGACACTCTCAGCCGCGTCTAGTCTCCGCTCTCGAGCCGTTGGACCCCCGCGTAATTCAAACTCTGCTCGGAGGCGGAGCCGTCCGACAATTGGTTCCTGTTTCCGCCATTCACGGAGCCCCGCCCTTGTCCCGCCCCCTGCGACGGGCGCTCCCTTCCAGGCCCCGAGGCGGCGGCACCTAGGGATTGCGCCCTGGGCGTGGGAAGCACTGGCAGAGGCCGCGCGGGCCTTGGTATACGCATGCGCACACTTGTGTCTCCCAGCCTCGGTAGAGCTCAGCTACAACCTCAAGGGAGCGGAGGAGGCTGGGAGGGGGGGCCGAAGAGCGATGAGGTCACCCCAGCCCCACCCGGCTGCCGCCGTTGGGTTTCGAAATTTTTACTTCCTCAGAGGTCTAGGAAGTAAACCTAGACTAGTTCTGTTGCCAGAACTGCTCAACAGCTCGCTGCTTTCCAGTGTCCCAAGAGGAGCGGGGATTAGCAGAACGCTTGCAGAAGAGCAAACCAAGCTCTTGGGCTTGGTACCGTTGTACACAAGTTTATCACATTTAATCATTAAGACAAACCTGTTAATAATGATCATCATTATACAGCAGAAGAAACTTGAGAAGACTTGAGTAACTTTTCCAGAACTTAGGAGGCCGAGGCAGGATGGTGAACCAGTCTGGGCTACATGAAAAAATTAGGGAAGCTTCACAGTTGGAACCTGACATGGAAATACTTGAGGTCCTTTTCTCCCGCCCCCATCCCCCCATCCTTACTCCCTACTGTACCTGCACCTGTGTCACGTGTTGCAGTGATTGACTTAATAGCCTGGTGTGGCAGTATCTCTGAAGCATTTTGCTTCTCAGATTACAATTTGTAAGTAAAGCGAGATGGATTTCTGTTCTGCTACTTCTTTTGAAATGATTTGTAGAAGTGTAACTGCTAAACGCGCCAAAAAAGGTTGTTTATGAACCTGTGGTCTGCACCGAGCTTTCCTTGGAGTATCCTTGTTAGCCACAGCAAGGGCAAATGGCAATGCAATTTTATTTTATTTTTTTAAATATTTATTTATTTATTATGTATACAATATTCTGTCTATGTGTATGCCTGCAGACCAGAAGAGGGCACCAGACCCCATTACAGATGGTTGTGAGCCATCATGCGGTTGCTGGGAATTGAACTCAGGACCTTTGGAAGAGCAGGCAATGCTCTTAACCACTGAGCCATCTCTCCTGTCCTGGCAATGCAATTTTAAACCACCTTCTCTGTCTATAGGTCCAAAATTGGTATTGTTTTACACTGAATTATAACTGAAATTGTCTGTTTTTCTACATTGGACAACTGTACCATCTATTAAGTCTCATTGTTGCCTTTTCTCTTTTATAATAAATATTTACATTTATAGAATTTATTTGTGTTTATGGGGGTATATGGAGACTAGAGGGCAACTCACAGGATTCAGTTCTTTCCTTCCACTAGGTGAGTCTATGACCCTTTCCCAGGGGTCAAATATCAGATATCTTGCATAAAATAGCCAAATTACAGTTATCAATTAACAACGAAATATTTTTCTTTGATTTTTCGAGACAGGGTTAACAGTCCTAGCTGTCCACAAACTCAGAGATCCGTCTGCCTCTGCCTCCTACTAACTGAATAAAAGGCGTGTGCTACCACCCAGCTGCAACAAAATAATGTTATGCCTGGGGTCAGCCGAGCCTGAGAAGCTGTAAAAGGGTCGCAGCCTTAGAAGGTTGAGAACCACTGCTCTAAGAGCTCCATCAGGTTGTCAAGCACCATCTCCCTGGCCATCATTTGCTTCCTTCTTTAAAAGAAAACCACACCAGGACTAGGCAAGGTGCTGCGCGGCTGTGATCTACGAACACAGAGGGCAGAGGCAAGTGGAGCTCTGTGAGCTAAGAGGCTGCCAGAGTAAGATAGGCAAACAAACAAAAACTTGTTTCACCTCTAGAACCAATATTTTTTGTTTGCTTTGTTTTCAATACAGGGTTTCTCTGTGTAACAGCCCTAGATGTCCTGGAACTCACTTTTGTAGACCAGGTTGGCTTGGAAATCACAGAGACCTGCCTGCTTTTGCTTCCAACAGCTGGGATTAAAAGAGCAAGCTACTGCCCAGCCTAGAGCCGTGTTTTATTGTTGGTGATTCTGGTTTGTTGTTTGAGCAGTACTGAGTGCTACAAAGTCTTTTTTTGTTTTTCTGAGACAAGGTCTTATTCTGTAGCCCAGGTGAAACTCACTACAAAGCCCAAGATGATTTTGAATTTGAGTGATCCTCATGCCTCAGTCTCTCAAGTGCTGGGGATTATAGAAAGCCACCATGCTGGTGCATCAGAAAGATACTTTTCTTACTTTCAGAAAACAAAAACATTTGATTTACTAGGCACAGCAATACAAACCTGTAATCAGAATACTTGGGAGGCAGGAAGATCACTGCAAGTTTAAGTCCAACCTGGTTTATATCAGTTTAGGCTAGCAAGTGACCATGTCTCAAAAAAGTAACAAAACCCAAAACAAAGAGTGTCCTTTTAAGTTAGAGCAATAATAAATTTGTTTTCAGAAAAGCATAATGAACCACAGAATCTTAGAAATGGAAAGGTATTTATTTGCTGACCAGAGTCCACCTCCTCCATTTACACTTGAGGAAACTCTGGTGCAGAGCAAGCTGGTTGACTGTTACTAGGAAGAACTGAAGGGGGCCCAGAGTCCAGGTGATAAAGCATGCGAAGCCCTCAGGACAGCCAACCATGTAAAGAAGGGAGTATCTGGGACTACAAAGACGCTTTGCTTGAGAACAGAGGCTTTATTTACAATAATATTCAAACAGGATTTAGCAAAGTTTACCTCTCCTCATCCCTTAGCAGCATGGGTTAGACTTCATGAACAAAAGAATATCCTGGGGGACAGGACATGAATTCTTTCCTAGGACATATTCTCCAAAGCCCGAAATTAGTTCCAAAGTCCCCAGCTCTGAGCAGTCTAACTGGGGGATTTTTCTAGCAGGTGGACATCAAACACCAGCATCCCATTGGGGTCCACAATCAGGACTGACTTTGACACTGGCCAGGAAAACTTCAGGCTTTCATCTCACTCATGGCTTCCATGAGGCGAGCACTGTTTGTAACGGCTGTTGTCAGAAAGATGAATCTGTACCCTAAGAGTCAAGACAAGCAGCAGAAGTGACTAAACGCAGACCTTAGGTCCCAACAGAGCAAGTCCACAAGTTCCACAGTGCCCCAGGATCAGAACGTAGGTTTACAGGCACAGAAACATCTGGACATGCCTGGGCAACAGGGTAAGACTCTATATCAGTAAGTCCCTTGGGCACTATAATGTCCACGCCTGACGGGTCTGGGCTGCCCTGCCCCCTGCTACAGCAGGCCAAGGGAAGGCTATGCAAGTGGTATACAACCAGGAGGAAAGCCTTCTTGTGTAGGGGCTGTGTCCCCCAGGACCCATGCAGCCCTGCTCTTACCTTTCTCTCTGCCCAGGAACCGCAGGGCTGATATCTCTGAGAATGTGCAGCCCCCCAAGAACACCACCAAGATGAGGCGCAGGGACTCACTGGAAGCCTTGTCTTCCTTGGCCATGTCTGTGAAGGTCAGAGCAGACTCCCATCTGTCTTCATTCACACGCGGGCGCGGTCCCGAGCACTAGCGCAGTGTCCAGCCTACCCCCCTTCGGCCCCTGCAGCACTAACTGCCACATACCTGTGAAGGCAAACTCGGTGCAGTTTAGCAGCCGCACCACCTCATCCAGGCCCTGCCAGCTCCGCCGCTCCAGCACCTAGGAAGGTATACACACCAGTCACGTCTCTGAGAGACAAGTTTAGGAAAAGGAAAGGATGGCAGCAAGACTCAGGTTTCTTGCTAGTAACTTGGGAAGTGAACGTTGGGATCAGCCAAGGACAAGAGGAGGCATAAAGAATGACATAGGAATGGAAGCAGAAGTGATTCTTTCTCACCTGCTCAATGATTCGGCAGCTCAGAGGCACGTAGGCACCACTGAAGACATAGGCCATGTCTCGGGGCACTTTCAGGTCATACTCCCCATCTACACGTGGGATCTACGGAGCAAAGTATGACATTAGGCAGGCCACAGCTCAGCACTCTGACCTTCTAAAGGTATGACAAAAATAGCACACTGGCCAGGCAATGGTGATGCAAGCCTTTAATCCCAGTGCTCGGGAGGCAGAGGCAGGTGGATCTCTGTGAGTTCCTGTGAGTTCGAGGCCAGCCTGATCCACAAAGCTAGTTCAAGGACAGCCAGGGCTATTACACAGAGAAACCCTGTCTTGAAAAACCCAAACAAAACAAACAAAAAAAGTAGCAAAGGCCTGACAAGACAACCATTGCATTAAATACCTGCTTCCTCTTTAGGGGTCCCTCTGTTCCCTGTGAAGGCGCTGGGTGGAGGGCTCTTTTCCAGTTCCTCCCTCTAGTCCCTTCAGAGAGCAGGAGCCCAGCCTTCTCAGTGTTCTCTAGCACTGCCAGGTGCTTTACATGTTTATTAGACAGTGCTTCTTTACGCTTTGTCTCATTATGAAATTAAGCTCGTGCTTAATGTAAAGTTACCCAAGGACCTTCATAAAAATACCATTGGCTTAGCAGTTGAGGGCACTTACTGCTCTTGCAGAGGACCTGGGTTCAATTCCCAGCACCTACAGGGCAACCCACAACTGCAGTTCGAGGGAATTTAACACTTTTTTCTGGTCGCCACATGCACTGGGCTAACATATGACAAAAAACACTCAACACATGTAATTTTGTTTGTTTTTTCGAGACAGGGTTTCTCTGTGTAATAACTCTGGCTGTCCTGAAACTCACTCTGTAGACCAGGCTGGCCTCAAACTCAGAGATCCGCCGGCCTCTGCCTCTCGAGTGCTGGGATTAAAGGCACCACCGCCCGGCAAATAAAAGTATTTTTAGAGGTAAGGACATATAATTAGGAGATGACTCGGTGGACAAAATCACTTGCTACAAAAGCACGAGGATCTAAGTTCAGTTCCCCAGAACCCATGTAAAAGCTGGCCCCACAGCACAAGTGCATTTGACCCCAGTGCCCTATGGGGAATTGGGAAATAGACAGAATCCCCAAAGCTAGTGGGCAAGCTAAACAGTCCTACACAGAGAAAAAACAGCCAAGACTTCATCTCAAATGAGGCGGAAGATGAGGACTGACACCTGAGGCTTCCTCTGACCTCTACATGTGCACTACAGCACACATATATCCACTCATACACATGAATGCATGCACATACACATACACCACACACTTACACACACACACACACACACACAGATACACAGACACACACACAGACAGACACACACACACACACACACACAAGAACGAAATACAAATGACATACAGGCTAATATGGACTCAAAGTATACTATCAAGAAACAAACAAGAAATGTTTCCCATCCAGTCTTACTCCACATACCAAATTCAGCTTTTTGCTGATGGCACGAAAGTTGCTCCTCTTGGCCAGAGAACTGAAGGCGTCCGTGATCTTTCCTGGGGAAGAAATCTGTGCTGGGTTCTATCTAACGTCTACAGATTCACAACGCCATCTTTCCTGCCACTGAACTCGCTCCCTACAGTTCCCTGGAACTGACCAGGGCATTCAGTGACCTCTCCTCCTCTACTGCTTCTCTTCTACAGAGCACCAGCTGCCCACTCAATGTAGTATACACGAAGACCTTCATTTCTAGGGCAGGCAACTACTTAAGAATAAAATCAGCCTAATGTACCGAGGGACTGTGAACAGGTCAATTTCCCTAAGCTTCAAGGAAAAACCCACCTTCCTCGTGGAGGATTAAGAGAGAACTCATGTCAAGTCAGCACATGCTAAGTATGTGTGATGGTTTGAATGTAATTGGTGCCCATAAGTTCATAGGGAGTGGCACTATTAGGAGGTGTAGCTTTGTTGGAGTGGGTATGACCTTGTTAGAGGAAGTGTGTCACTGTGGGGGTGGGCTCTGGGGTTTCCTATGCTCAGGATACCAAGCATCTCAGTCGACTTCCTGTTGTCTGCAAGAAGTAGCACTCTCAACTCTAGTACCATGTCTGCCTGTATGCTGCCATGCTCCCTGCCATGATGATAATGGGCTGAATCTCTGAAACTGTATGTAAGCCACTCCAATTAAATGTTTTCCTTTATAAAAGTTGCTGTAGTCATGGTGTCTCTTCACAGCAATAGAAGCCTAGCTAAGTCAGTATACAGTATATGTAGCAACTACAATGAAATCATCTCTCCCAGTCCTCTCTAACTCGAGAGCTCCACCTCTTGGAGAAAAGGAGCAGTTCCCAGAGTGGGGCGATAGAGACTCACCGGCAGCCTTGTCAGTCACTAGCTTGCTCACTTTATTCTCTACGGCTGTGAGGGTGTCCCCCGGAGCCTGCTCTGTTAGAAGCCCAGCGCGACGAAGATTGGAAAAAGTTAGCAGGTGCTCAGGGCCATAGCTCTAAAGGAAATTTGAAGCCAGTTATTTACGGAGTGCTCACAACCAGCCAGCACTGTTAGTGACACAGGGGAGGGAGGAGTCCACAGCTGTACTCTGTAGAGCCTAAGCCCACTCTGTGTAGCCATAGAGCTCGTGGACTCGTGCGTGCAGCAATAACAAAGAGGCAGAAAAAGTAGCAGAAAATATTTTGTTTTGTTTTTCGAGACATGTTCACTCTGTGTAGTCCTGGCTATCCAGGAAATCACTCTGTAGACCAGGCTGGCCTTGAATGCAGAGATCCTCCTGCCTCTGCCTCTCGAGTGCTGGGATCAAAGGTGTGAACTATAATTTTTCAGTATTAAATACAATTTTAGATGGAAAGGAAAATTATATCCTCCCAGCCTTACCTGCAGATACTGTGTTTTCAGGGATCTGTAATCCTTGGGGATCAAACCTAGGAGTATGTAAAAAAAGGCAGCTATGTTAGAAAAAAAAAAAAAAAAAAAAAAAAGGCCGGCTGAGGACCCCAGGAGCGGACACCCAAACCAATCAAACAACATCATAACCAAGAAGCAGGACTGTGATACCCTTGCTTAGGACGTAGCTGATTCCAAATGGACTGCTTAATTTAATTTGCTTAGTAAAAGTGAAGCCCAGTGTCCTGGTCTAAGAAAGAGCTCTGGCCACAGGAGCTGAGGAAGGCATACTGAACAATTATCATCGCCACTCCCATGGAGGAATCTGAAAGCTGTGACAGGAGGAAGGCAGGACTTCCTTGCAATCTGGCTAAGCGACAGGTATCAGAACTGAGTTACAGCTACCGAGAAACGAGTAAATTCCAAAGGTTTCAAATGCTTTTCTCTGCAGAGGCTAAGAAGCTGGGCTTCCAATCACAAGGAAGGGGACCTAGAGGCAGAATGTGTCTCCAGGTAGAGAGCAGCATGGCTCACTGACCACTGAAAGGGTCAGTAGTACAAACGTGTTGCTGTGAAAAGCTGCAGAATTGGGGCTTTATGGAAGTACTTATTTTATTTTATTTTTTTAAAAAGTCACTTTTCCTGGTCCTAGAGTAAGTCTTACCAGGAAGCCTTACTAAAGCCAGGTGAAATGGACTGAGGAGGGAAATGCCACTGCAAGCCTATGACGGGCATCATGGAGCGGACTGAAGGTGGTCTAGTTTAGAGCTGCAAGCCTATGACGGGCCTCATGGAGAGGACTGAAGGTGGTCTAGTTTAGAGCTGAACATTAAGTTCCCCTATGACCTGCTGATGATCCACCCAAACAAAATCAGTTCTTCTGTTTCTGAGAGACGTTTCTCAATCTGGCACTCTTGGCTTTGACCTTTGGGGCTCACCGTTCTCAGTGATGGACAGAAGGCACATGAGGCGAAGGCTTTCTATAGGTGACACCTGGACAGGAAGGAAGGGTCAGGAGGATGGATGTTCCAGGATGCGTGTTCTTCTCTTTCTTCTGTTTAGGCCACCCCACCTCTAAGCCCACCCGCGGCCTCCCAGCACACACGCTCACCTGACGGTCTATGTGTTCTTCAATGTAGTTGGTACTCTCTCGGATGTTGAAGCCCTCCAGCAGTGCTGTGAGAGGTCAGAAACAGCCCATCACTGGGGATCAGCTGGCTAAGACCTGTCTGTCTCATCTTTCTCCATCCTTGGGAGGGCTAGGGGACCCCAGTAGTCTACACAGCCAGCACTGGCAGCTGGAGAGAGCTAGAAAGCATCTTTTTGGGGGGCTGGGAGTCAGAGGGGTAGGAGCAGGAGAAGAACCTGGTGAGGCTCCTGCAGTTACCATGCTCAGTCTTGATTAGCTCCTGGAAGTCCTGCTTGGTCTTCTTCTTCATGATTGATTCACAGGCCCCAATGTCTGTAGGAAGGAGGAAAACCGACTTTGCTGCTTCTAGAAGGATAATCTTTGACTGCCAGAACAAAAACTTCATAAAGGAAAATCCATAAGCACTTTTTCCTATTTGAAACCAAATGAGACTACCTGCCAAGAGCACAGGTATCTTGGAGGAAGGTAATGGCCTTCAGCAGCATCCCCCTGGAGGACACACATCACCTTCCCTTACCCCCAGGCTAGCACCTACGGAGACTCAGCAGGCGATGCTCCTGTTTTAGTCCCTTGAGCTCTTGGGACACGAAGTTCTTCATCTGCTTTATGTCCATGCCTCTCCGGCGCTGTGGAGATGTCACCATAGGTCAGCACCCCAAGAAACCTCCATTCTCCCTCAGCTGCTACCCATCCAGGGAGAGACACAGGAGGCCAACAGAGGAGCAGGGCTTGGGGCCTTACATCATACTGGGCCTGCAAGTTCCGGGCCTTCTGGCTCAAGAAGCCAAAGACATTGGAGAAGTGCTCATTACGGATCTCATTGAACACCTTGAGAGAACAAGACAGGAACCACTTACAATGTGAGAACTGCACCAGGCTTCAGCCTGCCTCATGAGTACAATAACAAGAACAAGACAGGAACCATTTACAATGTGAGAACTGCACCAGGCTTCAGCCTGCCTCGTGAGCACAATAACAACACAGCAAGTGCTGCATTAACCAAAGTATGACCAGAGTCGAGCTGGTGTTAGAAACTGGGTATCAGATCCATCTGCTGTGGTCTGGATCTACTGGCTTTTTATTTATTTCTGCACTTTGAGACAGAGTCTTATGTAGCTGAGGCTGGCCTTGAACTCTTGTTTCATCTTCCAAAAGAGAATTACAGGTGGGAGCCACCTGTAATGCCTGGTTTGGGTCTGATCCTAATTGATGGGGGAAACCTCCCAGGGATTTGGACCCCAGCCTTGTGCAGCAGTGGTCCTGGGTAAGTACCATTATACCTGAACCCTCACCTTGTCCTCAGCATTGAGTAGCACCTTCAGGCTCTTGTCAGAAGATGTGACTTCTGGGCCAAAGTCGACACTCCCTGTGAGGGCAGAGGGGACAGCTATTAGGAACTCTACTGAGGCCTTCTCCTACTCATCGCTGACCTCTCTATTGTCCCCGTCTCCCCTACAAGTACTGCCCTACTATGGGAGTCACCAGAGGCTGGGGTCATCCCCTTTGTCAAGATGCAGAGGATCACAGCACTCACCGCACTTGATTCGGAAGGTGTCATCCACCAAGCCCTCGTAAACCACTTGGGAGCAAAGTGCTGTCACAAAGTCCATGTCTGAAACCAAGACCCAGCTTTCTATTCAGTTTGCTCAACAGCAGCTCGAGGACTTCTCACAGGTGCCATGTTCACAACCGATAGGGAGATTCACAGCCTGAAGTTTAGGACCCAACCGTGCCAGCACATGGATTCCAGAGACGGGAGAGTGCTAGGCAACACTTACCTCTGTCTAGGAGGAAGATGTGTCCAATTTCTGGTCTTCGACCTTTGGTTTCACTGTCCTCCTCCTCCTCCAGTTTCCTCCACAGATCATATGACATCTACCAGACCAAGACAACCTCAGTTTTGTATCCCAGTCTCTAGAAGCCCCATACTTACAGAGGCCAGTCTCCTCCATACTCTGTCATGTCCCCAAGGAGGAAGTTAACTGTGAGGAATACGAACCTGTTCTCCCATTTGCTTCTATCCTCCCACACCCCTACCCCAAAGAGAGAGGTTTAGGAATGTGACCTAGAAGAATGAAGATTCCTACACCACAGATATCCAGGGTGAGTTTTGCTGGGTGAAGGAAACAGAAAACAGGCTTTAAGGACCAGAGCTGTGCTCGCACTCTTACCTTGGCACATCTGCCAATGCCATAGCAGTTAGGGAAGGGTCCATACAGCGTACTGAGAAGGTGCAAGGCCTGAGCCACAGTGTTGATCCAACGCTGATCACCTTCCTGCAGCGGCCACGTGGGCCACAAAGACCCATGTCACTCCCATGTCAACTCATCTGATACAGTGGAAAATGGCTAGCCCTCGATCCCCTGGAGTGGGATGGCAGTGTCTAGGGAATGCCTGAGAAATTCATGTTATGGACCCCTGTGAGAGTTAACCCTGACAGTCAACCTGATGGAGTGGAAAGCACAAGGAGAGTAGTAAAGGTGACCCTGGCTGTGAGGGTACCTGTGAGGGCGTCTCTACAGTAACGCTACCATCTGGGTATACCTGTGAGGGTGTCTCCACAGTAAAGCTAACCCTGGCTGTACCTGTGAGGGCATCTCCACAGTAAAGCTAACCCTGGCTGTACCTGTGAGGGCATCTCCACAGTAAAGCTAACCCTGGCTGTACCTGTGAGGGTGTCTCCAGAGAGGACTGACTTCAAGGTAAGACCGGCTGAGGGGAAACAGACCATCCATGACCAAGTAAGGCCCCAGGCAGGATAAGGGGAACAGAAGGAGAATGGCTGCTAGTGCAGGTTCTCTCTCTCTCTCTCTCTCTCTCTCTCTCTCTCTCTCTCTCTCTCTCTGGCCATCATGAGTTGTTCTGCTGTGCCCTCTCAGACACCATCGACTGAAACCCCTGACATCACAAGTGAAAGCAACAAATCCTTCTTCCCGTAAGAGGCTTTCTCAGGTGTCTGACCACAGCAATAGCTAACAAAGTCCTGACAGACGTTCTATCCAGGACAACCTGCAGCCTTCAACTGTGAAATCACGCAAGACAAGTTATATGGGTTGGAAAAGGTGTCAATATTTCTAGTCCACTGGACCCCATAAACCTCAATACCAAGATTCCAGAGCCCTGCCTTACCAGAAAGTAATCCCTGAAAAATTCCGGCAGCTCCATGCTCAGCAGATCCACATCCAGAGGCAGCAGAGAGAAGGCCCACTCGTCACAGCTCACATCTGTGGGACAGAGGACATGGGCTTTTAGGCAGACGGTACTTGGTTCCATGCTAAACGAAGGTCTGCTATGCTACAGTCATGCAACCAATATTTGAGTGCCTGCTATATGTCAATTATTACAGTTAGTCCTGGAGACTCAGAATAAGAGACAGTCTGCTTTTAAGGAGTGTCTAGCGCTAGCATAGAAGGAGACATGTACACAGCAGCTCACAGTGCAATGTTGCAAGTGGTGGTTTACACTAGGGGGCCAAGCACAAGTGTTAAGAAAACACACATCTGTATTTACGATCAGCAGCTAATACTGAAATGCACCTACATGGAGGACAATATTAAACACTGGGGAGGGGGCTGGAGAGATGGCTCAGTGGTTAAAAGCATTGCCTGCTCTTCCAAAGGTCCTGAGTTCAATTCCCAGCAACCACATGGTGGCTCACAACCATCTGTAATGAGGTCTGGTGCCCTCTTCTGGCCTTCAGGCATACACACAGAAAGAATATTGTATACACAATAAAATAAATATTTAAAAAAAATAAAAAATAAATAAACACTGGGGAGACAGTGAACAAAATGGGCTCCCTCCCAATCCTGTGGAATGGACAAATGCAGCACGCAAATTATGATACAATATTTATTACAGTTGTAGTCCTCACATGCTTCACACAGATGAGCCCCTGGGTTCCAGTCCCATTACAAAACAAATCGGGAAAACTATGAGCACAAATATTCCAGGGACTAACCACAACTAAGGGTAAAGGCAGCATAAGTACTCAGTGAAACTTTGACTCAATATAAGAAAGTAAAAGAGACCAGCTGTGATGGAGCACACCCTTAATCCCAGTGCTTGGGAGGCAGAGGCAGGTAGATCTAAGTTCAAGGCCAGCTAGTGATACAGAGAGACACTTGTCGCCAAAAAATAAATAAAAAGTAAAAAAGGAGCCACAATATAGCTCAGTGGTAGAGTGGTAGAGGTAGAGCACTTGTCTAGCATATGCAAAGTCCTTTATACAATACCCTGTACTTCAAATAATAAATAAAGCCAAGTCTGGTGTCACAGGCTCATAAGACAAGCTACACAGGAAAGTGGGGCAAGATTACCAGCTCAAGGACTGCCTGTAGAGCAGGTAGCATAGGAGGGTTAGCCTGAGACTCTACTTGGTTGTGCTTATCTATGGCTTCCCTGGCCCTTATGATAATGCACGCTGTCGTTTAGTTCCTTAGCTTGCATGTCCTATTCACACACACTCCTCTCCAAACAACGGACCCTCAGAACATAGCAACCTCACAACCCCCTCCAACTTTCACCTGCACTGGATTATACCCACTACCATCTCTGAACAATATTAGAGGTTTCTCCACCCCTAGTAACAATCAAATTTAGACAGTTTTATTTGTACCAGGTACAAAGACGGGCTTTATAGAGGGCTGATTTGGCCTGAACTGCACACTCGAGTGACCTCTTAGAAAAACTCTCCTCTTTGCCGTCTTATGCTTGTGTGTAATTAGGAATGTATAAGACTAAAATTAGACAAATTATGGGAAGAGGTATGGGCATCAGAACAGATAAATATATGACTTAATGTATCAATCAAAATGAAGAATCACCCAAACTACAACTCTCTGTTACCAGTCCTTCCTTCCTTAGACCCCATAAAAAGACATGACAGGCCAGGTGCAGGGGTGCACACCTTTAATCCCGGCACTTGGGAGGCAGGGGTAGGATCATCTCTGTGAATCTGAGGCCATGGTATACACAGTGGGTTCTAGGAGAGCTAGGACCATACAGAGACCCTGTCTCAGAGAGAGAAAGAGAGCTCACTAGCCAGGCGACCTTGAGTACTCTCACTATAAATGTCAGCCCTTATTTTCAATCCTTTGGCTAAGAGGCCAAGAAAACGTGGAAATACCCTGCCCAGACCCACCAGTAATACCTGATCTACAGAAGGAAATACCTCCCCAAAGAAGCAACAGTAGAGCTTAGAAACTGAGGAAGACTGGGAGGGAAAAATTCTCAGGGAAGAGCACAATCTAAGCAAGAGGCAAAGCAAGCGCAAAGCCCCGGTGATTAGAAGGTAACAAGTTAAGGAGCCGCACATGAGGCTGAAGGCAGAGGGGGGAGTCAGACCGCGGGAGACATAGCAGGCCATGCTAGGGAGTCCGGGGCCACCTGTGTCTGGTGGCAATCTTAGGAGCAGCAGCTGGGCATTCTCTCCTCTAGCCCCAGCCTCCCATGCTGTTCTCATCTGGGTCCTATTCCCAGTCTCATTCCCAGGAACTTCTCACTAGAGCAACGGGAGTAAGACCCAGAGAAGGGGCTGGGAAGTGAAAACAAGAGTTATTTCTTTCTTCGTGTGTTCTCTCTGCCTTCACTCACATTCAGTTCCTCTCACCTCCATAGATTCCCTCTTCCTCAAGCACCATCTCACATGCATAAAACTGAAAGAGAAAAGTCAATTAGCCGATGAGGAAATGTGATTAGTAACAACTTTATTCTGTCCCCCCCCCCTTTTCTGATGCTAGATGTGATGGTAATATTGATTGTCAACCTGACAGGATTGAGAGGCATCCAAAGATTGGTAAAGCACTCTGCTTGGTGTGTCTGTGAGGGGCTCCCAGAGGAGGCTAGATCTTGATCTGACCTAACCTAGATCTGACCTAATTAAGGACTTAATCCAGCAATGGATTCAAAATTTAAACAGGCTAACAGACTGGTGCAACTGTAGAGGGTGGGGCCTAGCTAGAGGAAGCAGGAGGCTAGGGATATGTTCTTGAAGTGGACTGCGGGACCCTGTTCACTTCCGATCTCTCTGTTTTCTAGATGCCATGAAGTAAACAGATTTAAAACAACAGAAACAGAGCTCATGTGATTAAAGGGTACGCCTTAAACCCCAGCACTCCAGAGGCACAGGCAGGCGAATCTCTGCATTCGAGGCCAGCCTGGTCTACAGGGCAAGTTCCAGGCCAGCCAGGATACACAGAGAAACCCTGCCTCAAACAAACAAACAAAACCTATAGAGCTAGTTAATCTATGAATGAAAACTCCAAAAATCCAGAGCCAAAATAAATCTTTCCTTAAGCTTCCTTGCAGGCTTGCCTGTCGCAAGGATGAAAATCTGAATAGCATACTGGGAATCAGACCAGGCTCAGTGGAGAGTGGGGGCACACACCTGTGATTCAGCACTCATGGAGAGTGGGGGCACACACCTGTGATCCAGCACTCATGGAGAGTGGGGGTACACACCTGTGATCCAGCACTCAGGAGAGTGGGGACACACACCTGTGATCCAGCACTCATGGAGAGTGGGGGCACACACCTGTGATCCAGCACTTAGGAGAGTGGGGGACACACACCTGTGATCCAGCACTCATGGAGAGTGGGGACACACACCTGTGATCCAGCACTCAGGAGAGTGGGGGCACACACCTGTGATCCAGCACTCCTGGAGAGTGGGGACACACACCTGTGATTCAGCACTCAGGAGAGTGGGGGCACACACCTGTGATCCAGCACTCAGGAGGTTGGGGTAGGAAGACTGGGAGTTCCAGGCAGCTTGTGCTGAATAGTAAGTTCTAAGATATCCTAGGCTAATTAGTGACATTCTGTCTCAAAAACAAATAGGGCCAGTGAGATGGCTCAGCAAGATTAACAACTGAGTCTGAACCCTGGGCCCACAGTGGAAGGAGAGAACTGTCTCCCCAAAGTTGGCCTCTGATCTCTACTCAAGTACTATGGCACCTGCTATCCCCATGGGCATGAGTGGGACACACACACACACACACACACACACACACACACACACACTAAATAATTTTTAAAAACAACTGGGGCCTCACACAAGCTAGGAAACACTCAGCAAGATACACCCTTGGCCCTGTTCTTTCTATTTCTCTGGAGTGCCTCTACAGTAGGCGCCATGTTTGAATACGGTATGAGTACATTCTCTGAGCGCCCATTGTTAAATTAATCTCCTCTGTGAGATATTAAGAAAGTATAAAATTGATCTAATCATGGTGTCCAGAGGAAAGTCTTTAGACTTCACTAGGATTAAGGAAGGTCATAGCGTGCAGGCTCCATGACTGAATACTAGTGACTCTACAGAAGGAGGCAGAGATCAGGGTACACCCATGTGCTCTGTCTGTCCACACATAATGGGCTGCTTCACCATAGGACTCTGCTGGCAAGACAGCTATCACCAGACACGCCCCTTCAGCCCTAAGCCTACAGAGCCATTACAATCTTAAGTGGTTCATGATAGTAATAGAAATAACCCGAGACAGTCAATGGTGAGGACATTAATCACAGACTCCACAAACTTATCAACTTAGAATGGACCGCTAAAGAGCAGGAGAGATGGCTCAGAGGTCCTGAGTTCAATTCCCAGCAATCACATGGTGGCTAGCAATCATCTATAATAAGATCTGGTGCCCTCTTCTGGTAGGCAGGCATACATGCAGGCAGAACACTGTATATATAATAAATAAATCTTTCTTTAAAAGAAATAAATCTTAAAAATACGGACCACTAGACCCATCCAGCCCCAAATTTTATTTCTCTTTCATCAGCTTTACTTATGTATAATGCTTTTTCATCTCCCTTAGAAACCGGAAACCTTATGGAGTAGGCATTTAGCAGTCCTTGAGGGAAGAGCGAGGCTGGAACAACTAGGAAGAATGGCATGCAAGTGTTCCAGGAATCACAGAGGAGAGAGGGGGTGGAGTAGGAAGGCCTCTGGACACACTGAGATGTTGAGATCTGGCCCTGGAGTCAATGACATATATACTGTATTTAAATGGTTTGTTTGGCAGGTAGATCTCTGTGAGTTCGAGGCCAGCCTGGTCTACAAGAGCTAGTTCCAGGCCAGGCTCTAAAACTAAAGCAAAGCCCTGTCTCGAAACATCAAAATAAATAAACAAAAAAACAAACAAACAAATGGTTTATTTGAGGTGGACATGATGACGTAAGCATTTTGGGCAGGAATCAAATTCAAGGTAAGCCTAGGCTATACAGTAAGATTCTATCCCCCAAAATGTCAAGCTTTATCCAAGAAAAAAAATAGAGAGGAGTCAGGGATAGTAATGCACACCTGTAATCCCAGCATGCCAGACTTGGAAGAGGGAGAAGGATCAGGATCCCAAAGTCATCAGCTACATAGCAAGTTCAAGACTAACCTGAATTACAGCTGTCTTTTTAAAAAAGTATGTGTGTCTGTGTGTGTGTATTACGTGAAGAGGGTAAAGGACAAGAGTCCAGGGAAAACCAAAACAAAAACGGTCCAGAGAACAGACCAGGGAGAAAACACTGAGAAGGAACAGGATAGCAGCAGAAAACCAGCGCCTGCACCACTACTATACAGGAGCCTGTGTTGGCAGGGA